GCCCTTCGCCGAGCTTCATGGTTCATTGGGGAATAGGATCTGGATCTCTCCATCCAACATTATTGCTACAGCACCATAGCTGTGTGAACCACGCTGCCTGCCCCTTCATTATTCTGCTGCTACCAGACGTGGTATGAGACTGCTACTGAAATAAGATGCAGTCGCCCATCTGTGGAGCTGCAGGGGAAATGTCTCGATAGTTTCTCGAGCAGTAAAGCCTCTTGGCCCATCCTGGAATGTTGAGTGTCATGTGGGGACCGTCCAAAAAATGGGTGCCATAAGAGGGCATGTTCATTCACAGATACAGTGGACCCTCGACTTACAGACGGCTCGACTTACAGACTTTTCGAGTTAGACTTCTCTGGCTGTAAAATTTAGGTTCGATTTACAGCCTGAGAATCGACCTACAGACCAGGAAAAAAAACCAAAATGGAACAAAAATGGAAAAAAAACAGCCGGTTATGGGATTAATCGGTTTTCAATGCATTGTAGGTCAATGGAGCCTCGACCTACAGACTTTTCAACCTGCAGCCACCGTTCCAATATAGATTAATTCCGTAAGTAGAGCACTGTAATGCTATGTGCAGGGACCTAGAGAGAAAAGAAAACCAAATGCCTTATTTTTCCATGTATAAGACACTCCCATGTATAAGACGCCCTGCCACTTTTCTAATCCAAAATTAAGAAATCTAAGTGGGGCTTAGCAAGTGTAGGGGGAAAGGGATGAAAGCGCTGCAGGATCGCTTTGATCCCTGCTTTCCCCTCCACTTCTTTTTGTTCTCTCCTCAGCTTACTTCCGTGTATAAGATGACCCTCAATTTTTTAGTCTCAAGATTTTAGAAAAAAGTATAGCCTTATACACGGAAACATATGGTAGATGCAAAGAAAGAGAGGAGACAGGCTTCGCTCCTTTGTTCTCTCCCCCCCCCCTCATTTTGCTCCATTTCGTCCCCTTGCCAGCTTTCCATTTAGTATCCGCCTGACTGTTTTCTTAGACATTTCATAGGGTGCTTTCCCTCTTGGCTGCTCTACTTTCTGCTCAGCTGCTGACCTCAGTCCGGAAAAATAAACGGAGACCTGAGAGAGGAAATAGGGCACAGCCACGCTTTTCTCCTGCAAAAAAGGAAGGAGGGAAGGCCTTCATCGATGCCATTGCCGCATTTTCCTGCCTTGCATAAGAACAAGAGAGTGCCCCCCCTCCCATTCCAGCTATAAAAGCCATCATCTGCTTAATCTTTGGTACTCGTGATAGAAAAGCATCCTTTACTGAACTTAAAAGGAGTAAGCTATGGGGAGGCAGGAGGATCAAAGGAGGCTTTGTGTGTGATGCACAATTCTGCCACCACCACCCCCCAGCAACTGCAGTCTGAGGCAACCACCTTATTGTCTCTAACCATAGGGCCCCACCACTGCTTGAAATACCAGCACCTGGCCTACCTCACAGGGTAGCTGTAAAAATAAATTTGGGTTGAGAGTTATCCAGACAGAGCATGCATTCCTTTGAGCCCCTTGGTGCTGCTTTCATGGCACATGAGCACATAAATTTTTTTTACTGGGGTTTCTAGCCACACATACCCCTAAAACATCACTTCTTTTTCTTAGAGGAATCAATGGTATTTTTTTTTAAAGGATGGTTCAGAATTATTTCAAAAAGGGTAAAGAAATGCTTTTAAAATGAAGAAGGCTAGGACAGGGAGGCTAGGACAAGAAATAAATCTTCCAAATCTCACTATTAATTCACAAACCATATTTTTTTTAATACCTTTAAGTTTACTGACATTTACAAATACTGTACAGGTATTCACATTTACAAGACTGCCTTTCTTGAAAAAGCTCAGGATGGTATACTGTACACTGTATCCCAACCCACTTTAAACACATAACTGTGAGGTAAGTTAAAGTTACGAGAGAATGACTCGACCGTGTGCGTGACCACACAGAAGTTTGTCCCAGGTTGTTGCAAATTTTTCTGCACCACTCCCTGAAATCACACAGAAATGTTTAATCATCCTGGGAAGCTGTGTTTCAAGCGTTGGTCAGCTCCCCACCCCATTCATCTTTCTTATTGCAGTCCTTATACTCTGTTTGCCCAACATTCAAATCTGTTCTTCTTTTTTACAATGCTTAGCAAGTGAACTAGCGCTGAATTGACAAGATAGGATATACTGGTTGAATTAGTGCTGTATCAGTTTAGCACTAAGCTAACAGAATTTTTTTTAAAAAGCATACAATTCCTAAATTGCATTGCAGTTGAAGTCCTTCTTAGTGCTAGTTAAGGCAGGTAAAAGGAGTGGGTTTACTTCCACACCGCCCCAGTCATTACTTTATCAATGATATCAACCAGACATGCCCTGCAACTGGATAGAGGCAAACACACTAGACAAAATAACACGTCCGGAAACACTACATATACCCTGTTTCCCCTAAAATAAGACCTAACCTGAAAATAAGCCCTAGTATGATTTTTCAGGATGCTTGTAATATACACTCTATTCCAAAAATAAGCCCCAGTTGAGTGAAACCATGCCCTCCACCATTGTGCTACAACCAGACAACCAGATGACAGGACTGTATATTTTAATAACTGTAGATTGTTGCACATGAAAAAAATAAAACATTCCCTGAAAATAAGCCCTAATGCATTTTTGGAGCAAAAATTAATATATGACTGTGGCTTCCACCCTCGTGCCCCTTGCTTGATTGTCAAGCCTCACAGCACAGGAAGGCAAACAATCCTTCTTTTCACTGCTGCCACCAGGTGATCACTAATCACCATTAATTCAGAAAGCTTCAGGTCCACACTTTAAGGTCTTTTAAATAAAACTTTGGTTTATTGATTATAGAGATTGATTCATGAATGTCTTCAGTAGCTAATCACACCTCAGAATAATTCCCCAAACTCCATGCTCTAACTACTACTCCCTCTTCTCATTCTTCCCTCTCTGTCTGACTCTAACTTACTGACTCTGACTCTCTGACTCCGCCTCTTCCTCTTTTCATTTTTCTCTCTCTGTCTGACTCTAACTTACTGACTCAGACTCTCTGCCTCTGCCTCTTATAGCATCTCTCTCCGCTCCACCTCTCAGCAACATGAATATGCATGAACCATTATCTTACATAACAAACATGAACAATAGACCTAATAAATGGGGAATGATACAACGACCCTGTCTTATTTTCGGGGAAACACACTACAATGACCCTGTCTTATTTTCGGGGAAACACAGTATTAGAAAAAACAAAGCACACACTACTGAACGAATTATACTGCATACTACAAAGATCGAATCTACTCTCAACTAACACTGTTGTGTAGTTATTGGAATAAATATCTGTGACTGCCACTGCCTCCACCCAGGGAGGATCTCTTTGACCATAAACTCTATGAACTGTAGACTTCAGTTGCTGCTAGAACTAGACTTTATTAGAGTAGAGGGATGGAGGACAAGAATTGGCAGGATACATGGACTGTAGACTTCAGTTGCTGCTAGAACAGAACTAGACTTTATTAGAGTGGAGGGATGGAGGACAAGAATTGGCAGGATAACCATTTCTTCCCATCCCAACAATCCACAAGAGGGCTTAGTTAGCCATACTTGCCCTGCCATTACTCTCAGTCCCCAGCTGGGTTCAAGTTCCCTTCACTGGGTCTCTGGTATTTTCTGTTTGAGGCTGGGGTCAGCTTCACAACACTGGCCCCAGCCAGCCAATCCCTTTCAGGCAGGGCCAGTAGGGAAGGGCCAGTTCAAGTTCCTGACTTCCAGCCTTTCATCCTGCCTTTGGGTTTGGCACAGGCTGTCATGAGTTCAGCCGAAGATCTGGAACCTGAGGGGTTAACTACAGCTGAGGAGAATGCTGAGCGATTAGAAGCACAGACAGCTGAATCACCACCAGATTCTCCTCCCCCAGTAGCCAAGGTGAGGGCTAGACTTCAGCAAAGACTTATGATTCAAAGGTCAGAGAATCGTTTGAATGCTGCCCGCAGAAACATCAGATCAGCTACTCCTGAGTTTTGGCAGGATGAAAGGCTTCCAGCAGTTCAATGACTGTTTTGCTATATAATCAGCTTCCAGATGGCTGGGAAGCTCGTGGAAGCAACAAGTCAAATCTCTGGCTTGCATCCATGCTCCTGACTACCTGGACCCTTGGCTTTGGACTCTGACCCCAGACTACATTGTGTGATTTGGCTTTGGACTCTGATCTCGGGTTATGGTTTGTGAGTTGGCTTTGGCATTTTTGTACTGGCTCTGAACTTCTGATATTGTACTGGCTTATTGGACTTTGCTGTTGAAACCCCCAGGAATATGACATGGGCACTCATTGTGGCACTTCCTCCATTGGTGCTATTTCTGAGTTTGGTTTGGGCTAGTGGACCAGGGCTTGGAGAGATGGCTATGCTGCCTACCCAATCCTCACCCTCCAAGTCAGTTGAGGATGACGAGCCGTCCCCCACTTTCTCCTTCTCATTAAATTTCGGATCCCACAAACCTGGCCCCAACCTCCCTCTCCCTCCTCAGATGCAACTCATCCGCTTCCCTACTCCTACCTGGGACCCCACGCTTGCCTTCTGCACCCTTAGACTGCCCTATCACTGGGGTCTCCATGAAGCTTGCCAGGGGGTTTGAGACACGTCCAAGCCAGACAGCTCACTGTCTGAATGCCCCCCTCACAATATGGAAAAGAACAGGGAGAAACAAGACACAAACAATGGGCCGGACCCCCTTCTGATCCCTCCCTTTGTGAGCTTCATGGCTGAAACACAATCTAAATCTGGATCGTCTCTCTCTTGGTCCAACAGTCTAACTGCTACTAGGCTGAAAGGGCTTCTGGTGGCTACTCTCTAATTGTAGACATTTTTTTTCTCTCCTGGCCAGGCTGTCCCCGCAAACATCTCATGTGGTCACCAGGGGAGGCTTGTTTTAAGACTGTGGTACCCTCGCTATGAAGAGAATGAGAGAAAACCAATTCAGCAAGGAATCAGGCAGTTCATTTTCCCTCCCAAGTAGCTTGCCCTTCTTAAAGGTCGGAAAGAAAACATGCTATCTGGGTTTACTGACTCTGCTTTTCTTTTAACCCTGAATTTATGACTCATGATGTCTTCAGAGCTGTACCACTGGGAACGCTCCAGAAGGCTGGCTTTATTGTTGTAAGTCTGCGAGGAGTGTTGTATGTTCTGTATTGACTCGTTTGTTTAGCCAAATCTTTCTCTTTCTTACACACATGCTTTTAAAAAGCAGTCTAGCTGCTATTAGGGGCCTCTCTTGCTCTTTTTTCCCCCCTCTCTACCACCGCTTGCTTTTTTCCTCCTCTCTTAAGAGACAGCTCGGCCTTAAATAAACATCTGGCAACCACCAGCTGCCCCACATCTGGGCAGCGTTAGACGAGTCTGGGTCCCGCAGAAGAACAAGCCGCTTGTTTTCAGAAAGTCAAAGGAGGTGGTTTCCTGTATGGACTGAAAAAGGCCAGCAAGTGGGGAGACGTGCAGAGAAACCCACAACCAGACAGGTAAGAAACAACCTGCTTTCACCCTTACCTCGCTTTCTAGAGATCAGGGGAGATGCAAAACCTTTAGTTTACTTAGTTTATTTTCAGTTTATTCATTTGGGCTTCTTTTAAAGAGCATATTCATTTCTCCTCAGCCAGGATTCTGAGTTATATAATACTTTTATTAGATCTCAATAAAGGAATTACTCAATCTGGAACTATGTTTCTATAGATGGGTCACGCAGCTGCTTTTTCAGTTTTCTCTGATAGGCTGAAAACCCTTTGCATCCTTACCTGGAAGGAAGACCCATTAAATTCCATAGAGCTTGATTCTTGAGTAGACATACATAGGATAGCACCATAAAACACTTCTTATAAATCAAGGACGATTCGTGGTCCAAGCAACTGGTGTACCTCGCCCTAACATTTCAAGGTGAGATGCACACATGCGCACACGTGCTGTCCTCAGACCACAGACTGCGTACATTATGAACGTACATCAGTTTTGCCCAAAGGATACGAACTACCTGCTTGTGGGAACGCTCTAACTGTCTGTTTGACCAGGTACTTTTCAGTGCTTCAGGCTATTGGGTCACCTATTGATGTTGTGGCTACTTGGCATAAAGAATATATGTTCTCTCCTATACTGAAAGCAGTACGTTTCTATATATAAGTTGTTCAGAAACATGAACAGGAGGGGACAGTTGAGTTCATGCGTTTCCTTGTAGCATTTGTTCGGTCACTGTGGCAGAAGCATGCTAGACCAAGCAACTTGGCTCTGAACTGCTACATCTCATCTTTTTCTTTTTATTTCTTAGATGACTTGGTACCTGTTTTTTAACTAGTTTCACAAAGTAGCTTACTTTTTCTTTTAATGTCACAAGGGTAAATATATGAGCATTCAAAAGAAAACGCACGATAGCATTTCCTAAGAGCATTAGAGAACAGTACCCGAAAAAGACACAACTTACAAAATGTTTTTCACAGTTCTTTCAATCAACTTCTGTCTAAAATGAGGCATGTTTAGTGTTGTTTGCTTTGACTGGCAGCAGCCCTCAGGAATTTAGGTGGAACAGTGATACAGTTTTGGTAATTTTAAGCTCTGCCTTCATGGTTTTATGTTTAGCTGGTAATGGGTACTACCTCTCTTGGTTCCACATGCAATAAGCCAAGCCCCTGATAAACCCCTATAACTCTGCCCTAAAATCCTGCTATAATGCCAGCACTGCCATAAATGTTTGGGCTTGAGGCCCTCCAGATAGTATTGGACTCAACTCTCATCAGCCCTAGGCAGCATCAGCAATAGTGAGGGATGATAGGAGTTGTAGTCTAGCCATAGATGATAAGGATCATAGGTTCCAGTTGGGATAATGAATATAGTACCTTTTATAGTCTGAATATGATTGTGTCATCAGCCACCGTCTGATGAGCAGCCAGTGTCGTTAATACGATTGCTACTGTCAAGACTTTTGCATTTGTTTGCCCCCTGACCCCTCCAAATACTACAATCCTGCATGCTGTGGAAAATACCCCATGTCTCTGATAAAGGGGACCACTGTCTGCAAAAGGTCGTGCGGTAATGAATTTGCAAGTTTTGAAAGTGTCAGTCTTTGCTGCTTTTGCTACAATTGAATATAATACCTTGGCTTTTCTAATCTGAATATGTTTGTGTCATTAACTATGTCTGATGAGCAGCCAGTGCCATTAATACAATTGCTACTGTCAAGACTTTTGCATTTGTTTGCCCCCTGACCCCTCCAAGTACTACAAACCTGCATGCTGTGGAAAACACCCCATGTCTCTGATAAAGGGGGCCACTGTCCACAAAAGGTTGTGCTATAATGAATTTGCATGTTTTGAAGGTGTCATAGCAGTCTTTGCTGCTTTTGCTACAATTGAATGACACAGGTGGTCCTTTGGAGGCCCTCCATACCATGGCTTTAACAGGAGATGCCAAGGTTCCAGCTGGGACCTTATCTGTGGAAACGTTAACACTACGAACTGTTATGCTTTTTTCAAACATTCATTTCCTTTCTTTCTCAGCAGGACTCTTTCCGTTGAATGGCTTTAGAGCAGGCCAGAACCCAACGGGGAGAGCAACAGAACATGTTGTAGCAATAGGAAGAAGTTGATGCTAGTCCTATAATAATTAGTTACGTGCCACTATATCAGAACTGGTATATAGTGACTCTAACAGGGCTTCAAAGTAAGTGAGTGGTTTTGACTGTTCCACACACCTAATGGGTTCCCATGGCTGAGTGTGGGAGCCCTAGCCCATCTCTCTCCTCACTACATCACACTGAGTATAATATAATATATACACATGAAGAAGGTTAATGACAAGGATAGGACATCTCTCCAGTTATTCTAGGTAGCATGGTGGTCATGCTGGTAGGGGCATTTGAGGAATTGTAATCCAAAACCGGGACGTGGTGGCGCTGTGGGCTAAACCACAGAAGCCTCTGTGCTGCAGGGTCAGAAGACCAAGCAGTCGTAAGATCGAATCCACGCGACAGAGTGAGCGCCCGTCGCTTGTCCCAGCTCCCACCAACCTAGCGGTTTGAAAGCATGCAAATGCAACTAGATAAATAGGGACCACCTCGGTGGGAAGGTAACAGCGTTCTGTGTCTAAGTCGCACTGGCCATGTGACCACGGAAGATTGTCGTCGGACAAAACGCTGGCTCTATGGCTTGGAAACGGGGATGAGCACCGCCCCCTAGAGTCGAACACAACTGGACAAAAATTGTCAAGGGGAACCTTTACCTTTACCTTTTTAATCCAAAACAAAAATTGTTCACGTGACCAATTTGAGCTAAAGACAAGCAACTCTGTAAGCCCTTAAGCCTCACTACAAATGGCCAGTAGAAGGAAGGGGAATATCACCGTTTTGAGTCAAAAGTTGCACTTTGGACTACAGCTCCCAGAATCCACTAGTCGTGCTGGCAGGAGGGAATTGTCATGCAAAAAGTTACTCTTCCGAATTCTGGAACCAGAATCTGAGATCCTCACTAAAGTCATAGAGTGTCTTTGTGGACAAGTTAACCTGCTCTCAATTTCACAAATTCTGTAGCAAAATAATTGCTCTTACCGTGAAGTAGGATTGGAAGAGGAGGCGGTTAACCACTAGATAAGATACTACCAGCCAGTTAGCTACAGTGGGAAGTGTTTTCAATAACAACCATGACAACGTTTGAGATGTGCCTCCACAAGATCTTAGTCAGCCACCTCATTCTGTTGTGGAGGGACTCTGCCTTCTCAAAGGCTATTACCCGCAGAGTGCAAGCTCTAGTCTTTTTAATTTGCCGGTAAGGTTTCAAGAATACCCCTAAAGCAGGAATGGGTAGCTCTGAACCCTGTCGGGAACCTTGCACAGATTGCCAAAGATGAAAAGAAGAAAGAAAACCAGAAATGGCTCAAAGTATTATCTCCAGTTTTGTAATTTGCCATGTTCATGTTTGAGTTAATTAGTTTTCATTAAGCCAAAAAATAACTTTTGTTGAAAAAAAGAGGAGGCTGGGGGAGGGCTGGGGAAGCGCAAAACGCCCCGGGAGGTGCATGTGGCCCAAGAGGCACATTTTGTTCATCCTTGCCCTAGACGCTGTCTGTGTGTCAGTTGTACAGAAACCACCCGATGCCCATCTAGCAATGACTCAGCCACAGCAACTACGTATGGAATACAGTGGTGCCTCGCAAGACAAATTTAATTCGTTCTGCGGTTAATGTTGTCTTGTGAAAAATTCATCTTGCAAAATGTGTTTTCCCATAGGAATACACCGAAATCTAATTAATGTGTTCCTATGGGCAAAAAAAGTGAGAACAAAGTCAAGTTTGGTTTACAAAGGGATTATTAAGTGCTCTTTAAAGCCGTACATATTGTGCAGATGATTTTAAAAATTTCAGTCGAAAAACGTTAACTTTTTAAACATCATAGAAAAACATTTAAAAATCAGCAAATGTGAGGCAGGGACAAAAATCAGAAAACATTCGTCTTGCGAAGCACGGCCATAGGAACATTTGTCTTGCGAGTCATCAACCCCCATTGCCAAAATCATTTGTCTTGCAGTATTTTTGTCCTGCAAGGCATTTGTCTTGTGAGACACCACTGTACTTTCCTAAGGGGAGGGACTTCCTGTATCAATGAAATCATTGATCTCCAGGGTATTCAGAGCATAGGGTTTACTATTTTAACTCCTATGGTTTTGATGTATAGGCAAGTATGGTCCCTGTATGGCTTTATGTCATGTCCATGGAGGTCTACTTTTTTTATGTTCAACCTTGTTTTATTGTGATCTTCTAATATTTTTCTTATGTTAACATTGTGTGTGTATAAGACTGTACTGTATCACACCTAGAGAAGTCATTTTTAATGAACCATTTAATGACACACTGGCCTAGACTGATTGCTAATTACAACTTAAGTAGATCCATTAAATCAACTGGATTTACAGAAGTGTTGGTTTGCCATTCAGCAATTCATTCATTGATTTATTCTCGCTGCTAGCGATATGTCGATCACAATTGTGTCTAATTCCCTTGTGCTCTTTGTGTCATACTAAACAAGCTAAATGAGAATGTTTAAAATTATGGCATGCAAGATCAAAATCAGCCCAATTAGAAACAAACATATGGGAAGAACATTTATTGAGAAATAATTTTAAAAGCACTGCAAGAGATCTAGAAGTTATGTACCAAGACCATCATCCCAGCCCATTCAGTCGAGACTTCACCATCCCAGAAGCAGAACACTTAATGCCTAGAAATGAACTGGCTACTTGGCAGGGCCCTATCTCAAGAAAGAGGTAACCCTTTAATAAAATAAATAGTCACTGCTACCCAACCGATTGTGGGTTTATTGTTTGGTCCTGTTTAATACAAAGCAGACATCAAGAAAGCAGCTGGAAACTCTCATTTTCTCTTTTGATTTCTGTTTACCCGAGAACTTTTAAACTGTTTTGATGTTTTCCCCTTTGCTCGCCTCTTTCTGTCAGGATTCCAACCGTCAGCTTGCTTCTGTGTGTTTGCAAGACGTTTCTTATTGTTTATTTGCTAAGATTTCCTGCTAGCTAGACAGTCCTGTGTACACTAGCTTAAATTGCTCTAACCTTCCTGCCTCTTTTCTCTGGTTTTTCCAATTAACTGATTCTTAGCCATGGTTAACTTTAAACTTAGCATGCTTTTATTGCCAGATACAGTCAATTTGAAACGGTGAGTAACCAGTGTTAATTGTTAGGAAGGAGACGCTGGCTTGAATGCATTGTGTCCTGGATTGCACAAGGTACTTGCAAAAGTATTCAGGATGCAAGAAAGAGACAACAATCAAAGCTTGAATCAACAAGTCCCAGAACCCCCAAGTTGTGGCTGAGAGATTTGGAGATCTGTGATCCCAAAAAGTAATTTTCCCAGGCTATGAACTCTGTTTCCAACATCTCTTGTGAAGATGAAGCTTCATGGCCATAAAACTGGCTCTGCCTTCTTCCAGAGCAGATAAAATATGTCTTAATTATAGCTGCCTATCGTTAAGTCCCTCTTCCAAGAACCTCATTCTTCCTCTGCCTCCAACCTCTTTTCCCCTGTAATTCATAATTCTATTTAGTTCATATAGTATATACAAATTGACATTGATGAAATACCACCTGTGGTCTTCTCATTCTTGTGTTAGTGATTACAAGGTTCAATGTAGCAGATCAGCAATGAGCGAGCTTTGTCCTTTTTGATCTCTTTTGTTAACCTTGTGACTTTTCTCCTTTGTCTCAGCCTGATTTTGCTGCTGTTCCACATGCCTAATATTCGGCCAGCTAGAATCATCCTTCAAGTACTTAAGATGCCTCATGGAGCATCCCCCATCCTGCTTTTTCTCTGGGCTAAAGTGGTGTCTTCCACATGGCACGAAGGTAAGTACATCAACCGTCCAATGTAGGGAGGGAGAAGGAATTGGTTAAAAAGTTAGCTTTACAGACTTAAGTAAAGGTAAAGGGTTAGTCCAGCCATGTCTGACTCTAGGGCATGGTGCGCATCCCCATCTCCAAGCCATAGAGCCAGCATTTGTCCGAAGACAGCTTCCATGGTCACGTGGCCAGTGCAACTAGACATGGAATGCTGTTACCTTCCCACTGAGGTGGTACCTATTTATCCACTCACATTTTACATGCTTTCGAACTGCTGGGTTGGCAGGAGCTGGGACAAGTGACAGGAGCTCACTCTGTTGCGTGGATTCGATCTTATGACTGCTGGTCTTCTGACCTTGCAGCACAGAGGCTTCTGTGATTTAACCCGCAGCGCCACCACGTACCTTTGCAGAACACAACTCCCAAAATACCCCCAAAAAGCATGGCCATTGGCATCACATGCATTTTGTTCTTTGGGTAACAAGTTGGAAACACTGCCTACCGGGAGGAGGACTAGACTGTGTTGAAGAACACATAGTTCTCCAGATGTTATAGGACTACAAAACTCATCAACACTACCCAGCATAATCAATATTGAGGGATGATTGGGATTGTAATCCAACTGCCTTGGAGGACCACACATTCCCCATTCCTCCACTCGCTGGACCAAAATTGTCCGGCTCTATTTTTGAGACAGGTTCCTATTTGAACATTTGCTTTCTAGCCAGCCATTGTCTCCTCCTTGGTTGGTTGAGCTTCTGTCCCAACCGAGACCACAGTCTGTCCATAGAATTGCTGGGTGTCTTCTCTAAGTCAGCCAGCTTTGTCAACGAATCTTGAAGAAATAAGATCCAAAGAGAAACAAACAAATATGTGCCCACAAACCTCACGCCCTGCTCTTTCGAACCTAAGACCCCCCTCTTGGGACCGAGGGTGGCGCCTGCTTTGCTTGGGGTCAGAAAAAGGGAGAGGACACGAATCTTGAAGAAACAAGATCCAAAGAGAAACAAACAAATATGTGCCCACAAACCTCACACCCTGCTCTTTCGAACCTAAGACCCCCCCCCTCTTGGGACCGAGGGTGGCGCCTGCTTTGCTTGGGGTCAGAAAAAGGGAGAGGACCAACGAGAACAGATGGGGCTAGGGTCACCTCCGCAGATGGCTAAATATAACTTTTCTTTGCCCCCCCTCCTGGCTGCAGAAGCGGGAGCTAAGTTTTTCCACATGCCCTGTCTGTGGCTGAACGGGGGAGCATTTGGCAAGTGGAAGATTGTCTGGATTTGTTACAGACAGTAAAAGGGAGTGGGTAGGTGGAAGGAGGAGGGGAGAGCTTCTTCCTTTCTTTCCTCCATTCGGCTGCCAAGGGACGTCTATTCCTTGGCTTGTGTGTCCTCTTAAAAAGCCATCTATGCGCTTGTCTGTGCTAGGGAAGCGAAAGACTTTCAAGGGAGAGGGTTCTTCTTGCAACCATTTACAAGCCTCTGGGAAACCTTGCAACAGATGTGCTTGGAAAGAAGTGTCTGAGGCTTAACAGGGCCTGGCCTGTATAAAGTTTGGCAGTTTTTCCTGGCCAGGCGGCTGTGACTTTTAAATAGCAGCAGGAAAGAGGAGAAACGGGAGGCATTTCTCCCACCCTCCTTCAAAATCTGTGGCTGTGCTCTTTAATTAATTGGGAGTTGGTTATAAAGATTCAGAGCTGACAGAGCTGGCTGATTAACCCAAAACTGAATTCCTCTACCAGGGACATCCTGGCTAAGGAGCGATATGGCAAGTATGCGAGGGCCTTTTTCAGCCTGAAGGCCAGATTCCATTTGGGAGAAGTTCTCTCGAAGCATGTGCACAAGCACACATACACACAATAGGGCAGCATCCTCAAGCTGGAACCTGCTCCAGGTGTGCCAGACTAGAAGACTTATAAGGTTCGACCACTATACCGGCCTAGAAGAATGAAAGTTGTGGTCTATGTATACCTGAAACAGGTCACCAGGCTAAGGAAGGATAACAGAGGTCATGCTATAACTCAACACCAATTATGGGGCATAATTCCTTGTATACCAACACTAGTGGCAGAGTCCCCACTTGGTTTCCATGCACATGTTTCCCACCCAACTGTATTTTCTGCTTCTGGGCTGAGGTTGCCTTCGAAATGGCAATCTTGCCACAGGTTAAAAAGCAAAGCAAAATATGCTGATTATATAGCCCGCCCAAAGTGCTTTTAAAGCAGTTTACAATGTAATTATGCAAGCTACATACAGTGGTGCCTCGCAAGACGAATGTAATCCGTTCCGCGAGTAGCGCTGTCTTGCGAAAAAATCGTCTTGTGAAAAGTGGTTTCCCATAGGAATGCATTGCAATGCATTCCTATGGGAACCTCGCAAGACGAATGAATTTTTTTCATCTTGCGAGGCATTGGTCTTGGGGGTGGGGGAACATCTTGCAAAGCATGGCCATAGAAGAAGCCATCTTGTGAGGCACCATAGCGATAAAAAAAACCCATTCGTTTTACATTTTTTTTTGTCCCACGAGGCCTTCATCTTGCAAGGCACCACTGTATTGCCTGCCCCATAAGCTGGGTACATAATATGCCAGCCTCCCGTTGGGATTGAAGTCACGTCATGAGCAGAGTCTTGACTGCAGTACTGCAGTTTAAGCACTGTGCCATGCTTATGAGCAGAGCAGGGGTGCCCCATCCTGAAAATTTCAGGCCAGGCATCCTTCTTGAATCATGAGCCACCCTAAATGTACTGTATCTTGGGTTCTGGCCTATCCGTAGCCCTAGAACTGGCTCCCAATGGGCTCAGGTAGCTGGCTCAAGACAGTTCAATTCAGAGAGGCCTGCTCTTCCTCTGGGCATCCTGCTACCAGTTGTAGGCAGATTGCATAGCTTCAATATGTTCATTTCATTTTCAGCACCACAGGAGCTGCGGCCACTGTGGGCCATGAAGGCTGAGTCAGCCCTTTCTCTCTTGAGAAAATGGAAAGACAGAGATTTCTAGTGGCACAGGAACTTAAGGAGGGAGGCAGACAATCATGTGTGGGTGGGAAGACTGCTGGGAAAGGACTGTATTAATCAGAGGAAGCTAGCCCTTTTGATGAGGACATCACTCCACATATCATCTCTCCGGGGCAGTCGCCTCTGATGTTGTGCCTCCTGACCAGTGTATGAAGGCCACTCCAACAGGCAGGGGGGGAGCCCCCTGTGACAAACCCAGACCTACTGGCCAGTGTAGGAAGGCCACTCCAACAGGCAGGGGGGAGCCCCCAGACGCCTGCATTTATTATGACATCTCGTCAGCCTCGAGACCCAACAAATCCCCTCTCAGAACTGACACATCGCTATCAAGGAAAGAGGAGGCTGAAATATGTGGCGATTCGCTTAGCAGAGAAGTGGCTTCAGAGCAAACGCATGGGGGTTTAAATGCCTCCTTTCGGGCATGAGAAACCGAAATGAGATAGAAAGGGAAGACGGGTCTATTCACACGGGCGAGAACTAAAGAGATTCAGACAAGTAGTTCCTGGATGGCGAAGCAAATGAACGGTGCCTTCTGGAATGTGAGGGAACCCAGTGGAAAAGTGACCTCACGGGGCTGGAATTCCATCTACCAGCACTCTCTCTCATTCATTCAGGATCCAGATTCATTCTGTGCCATTCGCCACAAAACCTATTTTTGTCTCATGAATTTCCCCCCATGCTCTGTTCTGTCCATCTCTGCAGAAAAAGTAAAGGAATTGGGGGGGGGGTCCCCCTCCTAAGGAAAGAAAAAGCAACAGTTAACACAATCTCTCCTGATCCAGTGGAGGCTTTGAGCTATCATATCACTGTTTTTTCAAGGATTGTAATCCTGCAATTAGAATCCCTGATTATTCTGAGATCCTGCTCTGGAAAATTTAGGCAGACACTTCATTCCAAGGCAGGTTTTCCACGTTAGATACCCAAAAGATCACTTGAAAAGGCATCTCATAAATGCCAAATAATGAATGCAAGAAATGGTCTTTTGCAGAATTAGATTATTGATCTGTCGAACCTCATGTTACAGAAAGACTCTCACAGGCAGTAGGACCACAGGGCCTTGGAAATTTTAAATGTATAGGATTGCATTACACAATTATTAACAAGTTTTGACTGCAGCTTCACCAGCAAACCAATTTGGAGTGATTTGCCTATGCTGCAGTTTGATTCGCAGCCTATCTTCCATTTCAATTCTCTGTTAGTGATGATTACACAGAGACTGTGGATTGATTCAGAGCCAGTACAAACCCAAGGATCTGGTGCAATCCATATTTCAGTTCACAACCCCCCTTCCTTCCTTCCTTCCTCTGCGCCCACCTCTGCCAATCCTTTGACGGTGCATTGTCATCCTAATTGGTTTTTAAAGGATTGTACAGTGTTAAGGAAAAAGTAGCAACTTTCTAAAGTCCTTCATAATTTACACAGAAACATGTAGTATTTTGTCAGAGATGTTTCTATTTTGTAGCAATTTTTTTATTTTTTTCTGTGTCAAAGTGATTTAGCACTAAACTAAACAATACGATGACTCAGTGATAGATTGGATTTATTTTTTAAGAAAATAAAAAAATTCAGGGACATTCAAGAGACAGATCAGGGGGTGGACATTCCTGTAGTCCCCAAAAATCACACCCCGACCACCTACTCTCCACAACACCACTTGCAGACAGGCCCCAATCCTTTCCCAGAAGGAAATAACTGATCCCACAGAGAAAAGTCCCTGTGAATAACTCCAGTTTTTTTAAAAAATTAGTAGCCAGCAGTGACAGAGAAAACAAACCTCTGTGTCAAGAGCAAAATGGGCCGGACTGATTCCAATTAGCCTTCGTGTCATGTGGCCAGTGTTTTAAAAAAATCAAATTCATCCACTTTATAACCGGCGCGAATCCTGCGGTGTTTGGTCATGCAGTTGCTGCCTCAAACTAGCAACTGCACTCCTGCAGGAGAATGTTTATTGGGCTCAAGAGCCCATCCAAAGAAGTGGTTTTAAAAAACCACCTAGTTTACTGGTTCTGTGATCCCAACAAAATCCTCTTTACCTTCTGGCCACCACCAGTGTAACCATTTCTCATGGGAAGGAGGGTGGCCGTTTACACATCATGAAAAGAGAAGATGTGTATCACTAAAAGGGAAGACAAAAGAGATCATTGATTTGGATAAGAATGCGGATTCTAATTGCTGTACAAATGAAATATTAGGAATTATTTGCATAATTTAGAGAACGGCTATACATCATCTCTGACTGGGGAGGACTGTGGCCAGCTGACCCTCCCAGATTTATTGCCCAGATACTGCTAATCGATTAAAGGCCCCTGAACTCCCTCTTTGTGATTCCCTATCTTTAAATCAAACCAGGACTGGCCACCCCTTTAAACAGAGGTCACCTTCAAAGAGAGAACTGCCCTCTGCAAGCCCTTTAAATAGGGAATAGTTGGCCACCCTAAAGAGAGGAAAGCTGCAAATTAGCATCCCTGATGATTTACTGCTGTGTCAAAATATTGTTAATTTAATGCATGTCACCTCCAGACACATGTGTGGGCTGGAATGCACAGTCTGAGGGATGCCTAACATTTTAAGACAGAAGTGTTTCGTTTTGATTTGATTTGTTTTTCCCCCTTATATTTCCCTCTCCGGGCAAAGTATGAGGGAGCAGTTAAAGTTTGGCAGTAGCACATCTTAGCAGATTGGTTTCCTATTTCTCGGGGCAATATTTATTCAGTACACATAAGAAGCAGAAATATACACAGCGATTGCTCTGAGGTTCCGGGCCGAATTCTAATAAGGAATTAATTTAGATAGCCCTATGAGTCTGATGGAAGGGAGCAGAAACATGCGTGGATTTTTTGACTGATGGAATGGACTTAACCTGCTCCCTGGTCCTCTATATCCCTGTGGCACTTCCTCTACTTAATGAAACTGGCACAAGAAATTCTGTTGCCTGCTAACAAACTGATGCTGTAGCTGCTGTGGGGGAGAAAATATTTACATATTTTGTGAATATTGATACTGGAGGGCTATCTGCTACAACTGAAGCTTTATTTTGAGATGGGAGAGCCAGTTTCATTTGGAATTTTATTTGTAACCTCACCTACTGACTGCAATATGTAGGACTGGGAGGAACATTTTTCTGGGCTGGGGTGATTTTCTATCCATCACTAATAAATCATTCTTCCCAGCCTTTGATTTCAAAGAAAGCCCCATCCCTTTGCTGAACTTCTTTTCCCCTCTCTTTAGTCTGTTGGAGTCAGTTGTTTGTTTGCTGTTGATCTGCTTGCAACTACAGTGGTGCCTCGCTTAACGAGTGCACCGTATAGCGATGTTTCCGTATAGCGATCCCTTTTTCGGGATCGCTATACGGAAACATACCCGATCTTCACAATGGGGAAAACCCGCATTGCGAAGATCGGGTATTGCGGCGGCCATTTTGGAGCCGCCGAACAGCTGATCGGCGGTTCCAAAATGACCACCGGAAGCCCTAAAGCTTTATTTTGAAATGGGAGAGCCAGTATCATTTGGAATTTTATTTGCAACCTCACATACTGTCTGCAATATGTGGGACTGGGAGGAACATTTTTCTGGGCTGGGGTGATTATCTATCCATCACTAATAAATTATTCTTCCCAACCTTTGATTTCAAAGAAAGCCCCATCTCTTTGCTGAAGTCTGCTGGAGTTAGTTGTTTGTTTGCTATTGATCTGCTTGCAACGATGAGGAATTAAACATTTTTTTTCTCCTACAAATGTCTCAGAGTGAGTTACTGAAGTGGCCCATCTGAGGAACTTGTTGCTATTCTCCTCTTTGAGTCTCCGTACTTCTGCTGTGTAGCAAAAAGGAATTTTACCAGAAAGACTCTGCAACAATTTAAAAACATAAGCCCAGTGCTCATTTTCATAGAATAAGCTAATTGCAGCACAAAATGCTCTTTATAAATATTCGCTTCTCCTATGATATATTCAGTACAGTTGATTCTATTTAATTCTCTAGTGTCCATTCTCTGTCTCTGTTAGTCTCCTAAACCAAAGTGGCAGCAATCTTGTCTTTTCTTGCATGCACCCACAAGAGGCGGAGGTTTGGGGGCACGGACACGAGTCTCTAATCCTACCTACAAACTGTGCATGCACAGCAAGGTTAGGTAAAGGTTCCCCTTGACAATTTTTGTCCAGTCGTGTTCGACTCTAGGGGGCGGTGCTCGTCCCTGTTTCCAAGCCATAGAGCCAACATTTTGTCCGAAGACAATCTTCCCTGGTCACATGGCCAGTGCGACTTAGACACGGAACGCTGTGACCTTCCCACAGAGGTGGTCCCTATTTATCTACTCGCATTTGCATGCTTTCGAACCGCTAGGTTGGCGGGAGCTGGGACAAGCGACGGGCGCTCACTCCGTCACGTGGATTCGATCTTACAACTGCTGGTCTTCTGACCCTGTAGCATAGAGGCTTCTGCGGTTTAGCCCACAGCGCCACAGCAAGGTTATTAAAAAGCAAACCAAGGACACTTAAGATTATCAGCTACAGGCACCGAAACATTGCCAAAGACTTTCTTGTTCCCCATCCCAATCAATAGGATCATTGTCCCACATTCAAGCCCATTTAAAATACTCTGGGTGATTCTGGGGGTCGTAGTCCAAAACAGTAACTTTTCCAAGCTCTTTCCCCTAAGATCATGAGACGAGACTATTCTAGGTTGGGTATGGATGCGATCCGTCCAATAAACTTGTTACTTCTTGTTTCTTCCCTCCTTATACTAGGATCTGGTTACTATGCTGCACAGGGGCAAACAAATGAGGTATATGTTGAGGAAACCCCTCATGTCCCTGCTCCAGAATATCGAGGTATGTTGTTGTTTTAAAATTGATGAGCTTAAAATAATCCTCAAGCCTTCTCTGCATCTCTTCTGTGCTTTCTGGAAAGGCTCAGACCTACTCAGATTGTACATGTGTAACTCAAAAAAAAGGCTGAATTCCACAATGAAAAAAAAATTGAAAAAGACAGGCGCCTAGTCCTTAACATGTAAGCTGATCTGTTACCACAAAGGAGCATTATCATTTGGGGGGTGTTTATTTCTTTTATCACACCTTTAAGTCTGTTTCAACTGACAAGTTTTAACATTCTGCCTTAATTAAGATTTTGTTTTTACCCATACTTGTTTTTATTTTCATCTGCGTTTTATGGTTGCTAGCTTCTCTGAGCTGCATTCTTAGTGGAACAGTGCGATATAAATGTGACAAAATGATCAATACAGTACTGATTTGGGATTAAATAACTAGATATACAGATAGACAAGTGGAATCCACAAATAGCTTTTAAATGCACCTAACAAATCTAAATACAAAGAGAACTCTAATTTACCTCAAAAACAGCAGAAGATTGCAATGAAGTAGTACTTTCAATTATCTTCCCCCAGGCTTGTTTTCATGGGTTCAAATGGGGGTGCAGGCTAAATAGGGGCACTTTGGGTCAAGCAAAAGGGCAATATGGCATTTGGTGGGATCCCCTCATCCAAATGGTTACTGGAGTACAAGCAATCCCATTTGGCTCTGTTCCTTCTATTGGGGATTTCCGATATCCTGAAGTGGCTTAAGAAGAGAGACACCTCAGGATATTCACAGATGTGCTGCATCACTTACAAAACAAATTAGAAATACATTTTCTTTGCCTTCTCTTAAAGGGCTAGCCAAGAAACTGCACAGCCATATCCACCAGTGAGTACTAGACAGCCACTGGTCTTTCCCCTCTGCCTTGCTAGCAGGTAACCTAGTAGGGTTTTAAATATGTCAGAGCGGTCCAAACTCAGAGCACTCCAGCACCATAGTCAGATGGCACATCACTAACCTTTTAAGAAGAACACCCTATGACTTGGCAACTTTACCTCCCCCCCAACCCACCCAGTCAGGATGCCAATGAGTATAACCGCCTTCTAATATCCAAAGTTAGGCAAGGAGAACAAAATAAAACAAAGCCACACCATAAAAAAACATGAAAAGCAGCACACACAGAAATAATACATTGTAGATTCAACTGGTTCCTTAAAGCTGCAGCTATCTGCCCGAACATGAAGGCATTAGATAGCCCTACTTTATTTCTGAAATGGGGGGAGGGACCTGAAATACAACAGCTGGGGGAAAATAGCTTATGGGCAGGTGTGTAGGGAGGCCTATGGCCCTCCTCACAAGGGGTTTTTATTGTATTTTTTGTAGGAAACAAATCCAGTTGTCTTTTTCTCCTTCTCTCCAGTTCCTCAGTGGTGCCACCTGTTAAACATCTACCACGGGGAGGCGACCTGCTATTCTCCCCGCGGAGGGAGCTACCGCAGCAGCCTGGGGACCCGCTGTGAGCTCTCCTGTGACCGGGGATACCGTCTGATTGGGGCGAAGTCTGTGCAGTGCTTACTCAACCGGCGCTGGTCTGGGCTTGGCTACTGCAGACGTAAGTGCTGGGTTGTGAGACTTCCCCTCCCAGAGGCCCCAGCCGGCATAGCCAGTGGTCAAGGATGCTGGGACCTGAAGTTGAAAATCTAGACACCCAATGGTTGCAAACTATTGGGACCGCCGTGATCCTTTCCATCTCTAAAATACTACAAATCAAGTACAGTGATGCCTCACGAGACGAAATTAATTTGTTCCGTGAGTCGTGTCTTATTGTGAAATTTTCATCTCGCGAAGCATAGTACTAATGATTGTGTGATGTAAAACAAACACCCCCCCCAAAAAAGGGGAAAAATTGGTCTTGCAAAGCACAGCCGTAGAAAAATTCGTCTTGCGAGTCACCAAAAAAATCCCAAAACGCTTTCGTCTTGCAAGTTTTTCATTGCGTGAGGCATTCGTCTTGCGAAGCATCACTGTAAAACAATCTGCATTTTTCTTACAAAATGAGGTTCTAATTTAAATCACATCTTCGCTATAAGATTTGACCCAGTTTGAGGCTAGGTTTTCTGTAGAGTGTCGGTGGGAAATATCTAAACTTCCAGGGAGTTTAGGTCCCAGTTCCGAAAGCCCCTTAACCATTGAGTATGGTGGGTGGGCATTGAAAACCTAAACATCTAAAGGGGCAAAGGTTTACCACCTCCTGGGGTAAAGCCTGCCTCACTCCAACCCCTGGCCCCCAAAAGGCACCCTGGGGTCAAGTTCCACGAAACAGCTAAAGATCATTGCTGTCATTTTCACCTGCAGAGATTCGGTGCCATACCTTGCCGGCCGTTCATCATGGTTCATACCAATGCTCAGATGGAGTGAAGGTGGATTCTCACTGTGACTATACCTGCCGGCCTGGATACTCCCTGGAGGGTGATCGTAGCCGTGTGTGCATGGAAGACGGACACTGGAGTGGTGGCGAGCCAATTTGTGTAGGTAAATTCTCACCCTTTCTGGGGCCCAGCAGTCGGCTTTTCACCCTGGCTGGCCCTGCATGCAAATCGACCCGAGGTTAGAAAAGTTATTCTGAGGACTACAACTTCCAGAATCCTTGAGCCAGCATGACCCGTGGCAATAAATGGTTGGGAAAATTGTTGGTGGGGTTTAAATCCCTGATGTAACTTTTGCAGGCTTTGTCTGATACAAACCTCAGCCAGTTCCTTTTTTTGCAAAAGCAGTAGGAAAGCAAGATGGACGGGGGGAGAGACTGTTGGGAAAACCTGCCTGCTCCAAAGCTTCCAGAACAATCTGAGCCAGGCAAAGGATGGTCCATGACTCTATTGCCAAAGTACCGTATTTTTCCGTATATAAGACTATACTTTTGTCTAACATCTTTAGACTAACAATTGAGGGTCGTCTTATACACGGAAGTAAGCTGAGGAGAGAACAAAGACAAGTGGAGGGGAAAGCAGGGATCAAAGCAATCCTGCAGTGCTTTGATCCCTTTCCCCCTACATTTGCTAAGCCGCACTTAGATTTTTTAATTTTGGATTAGAAAAGTGGCAGGGTGTCTTATACATGGAATAATACGGTACATAGCCCCAGTATCTCTTCTGAGGTCCCTCAACTGTGCAGGACCCCTTATGTCCCCCTGCTGGAAAAAAGCAAAGGTGACGTGAAAAGTGTTCTTTTTCTGCTTCCTGCAACAAAATAAGGAGCAGGACCCACAATAAAACAAAACAACCTTCACAGATCTGGGAGGGGCAAATTGCCACCTCAACCCGCCCTTGTAACAAGTAGTCGATTCTAGAGGCCTTGGGGAACATTGTTCTTCCACATGGGACCCGCAACAGAAGGTTTGAGGGTGGTGGACTGTGGCTCTTCACAATGCCAGTTCATGATCTTGCCAGCAGGAAAGATTGTGCTGTGCCAGGCAGCATCAGTGACCAAGGCCACAGAGTGACGAGAAAGTGGCGGGCACAAACAAGAGGAACAGTTGGCTTGTCCTTCAGGCTTCAGGTGGACATTCTCTCTCTGTGTGTGTGTTTGCTTCCATGAAGTTATTTTCTCCTTCTACCCAAGCAGATATAGAGCCTCCCAAACTTCAATGCCCCGAGTCCCGAGTGCGATTGGCGGAGCCAGGCAAACTGACAGCCATCGTCTATTGGGATCCGCCCCGGGCCAAGGACTCCGCGGACGGCATCATCCGACAGTGAGTTTGGGGGAGGGGGGAAAATGACTGCCAGAATTCAGTTCTGCAACAGGGACAGCTACGCTGGGCTTTCCTCACACGACCCGCCTGCTCACCCCTGACCAAACTCTCTTGTCTTTGGAGTCCAGAGTGAGACTCCGAGGCCCTGACCCGGGATCCGAGTTTTCTGAGGGAGAGCACGTGGTTCGCTACTCCGTCTACGACCAGGCCTACAACCGGGCGAGCTGCAAGTTTTTTGTGAGAGTCTATGGTAAGTTACTCAATACTCCCTTCGGATCGTATTTAAGAGGCTGAGTTGCCCATGGTCTGAAATTGCATGGGTTGCCGTTACCTCTTGAAAAACAAAAGGGGAGCCATGAGGCAAGTGATGATGGGGAACGAAGACGTTCCATCCAGTATCATGGCAGAATTTGATACCTACTCAGACAGAGTGGATTTATCCTGAGAGGCGATGCGTTCTTGGTGCCAACAGTCATTTCTAGCAGAACAGCTGGAGAAGATCTTTCGCTGGAGCCATAGGAGGGGGAAGAGCATTAATGCCTTCTCCAGCCTTCCCATCTCAGCCTGCTGTATGAATCAGTCCCCACTCTTGCATAGTTTTGAATTTCTGGTAAAAATTCTCTTTTGCTACACAACAGAAGTACAGAGTACCACTGAGAAGAGCTACAAAGTTCCCCAGAGTTTCTTGTAATTACAAACTTGTGTATGCTGCTTTCTTTACTGCATACATAACAAGCACCTGAACAGATCAACAACAGCAACAAACAACTGCCACCAACCGGGAAAAAAGAGGGATAGCACACCCAGCAAGAGAGGCAGAGCTCTCTTTGAATTTCAAAAGCTGGAAAGGAAGATCAGTTAGTGCTGGATAAATAGACAATTATTCCAGCCCAGAAAATTTCCTCCCAGTCACTCAAACTACAGACAGCATATGAGGTTATAAATAAATCTCCAACACCCACTTCCAGTTGCTCCAGGATATGTGTACAGCCACCTACACTCCTTTCAAGTAAATTAGTTATTTGACAACTGAATTCTCACACTGAGAGCTAGAGAGAAAAACATTTTAGGAGTATTGTATACTATTTGGAATATTCCTGGCACTTTAATCCCCCAAACTAACTTTTCCCATTTCAGACCTGCCACGAACCTGAGGTATCTTTCTAAAGTACTGCTCTTCAACTACTTCTACCAGTCCATGTTTTAAAGGGAATGCACTAGGACACACACTCAGGAAGCAGATTTACAGTGGCATGAAAGACCAGCAAAGAGTTATTTACTTTGCTTTTGTCATCTCTTTGCTTTCTTGGCAATATTTCAGGGATGGGGTTATGTTGACCTCTTGGGCCAAAATAGCCAGGGCACTAGCCTAAAAAGCCATGGGGGTGGCGTTTCCCTCTCTCTCGTGCAGCAAAATGTTTTTGACCCGCTCTGGAAGATAAACTGCTTAGAACCTGGTTTTATGAGGATATTTGTCGTCTCACATGACAAGAGTGTTCTACCTAGCATTCCCCTGTAGTTTGGATTTTTTTCCAATTATGTACCATTGCAGGGTGGAATGGAATCGTGAGGAAACTATAGCATGTTGACCTTGCACATGATAAGCAAAACATCACTCTCTCGATGGTTGGACTACAATTCCCAGCATTCTTTATTGTTGTCTGTGCTTGCTGGGGGTGATGAAAACTGTAGTCCCACACTATCTGGTTGTCTGTGTGGGGGTGATGAAAACTGTAGTCCCACACTATCTGGAGGACTGCTCTTTACCCACTTCCAGTTTATGGCAACTGCCCTGAGCTTTACCGTCAACCTTCTATAATCTCAGCTCAGCGCCCGACTCAGCCCAACTACGGGGCCACGTGCGAATACCACTGCGATGGGGGTTATGAACGACAAGGAGCACCCTTGCGGGTTTGCCAGTCCAGCCGCCAGTGGTCTGGCTCTATGCCTATTTTATTTGGTAAGTGTTTCTTGTGAGAGAAGGAAGCAGCTAATCAGCCAGATCCGAGCTGCCCTACTGCACCATGTTCCTTCCACAGCAGCCAGCCAGATATTCCAGGGAAGTCCACAGGCGGGCAGGACATGAGCGCAAAAACACCGTCATACTGCCTTTCCAGAAGGTCTATATAGCCATCAGTATGGGACGTGGTGGCGCTGTGGGCTAAACCGCAGAAGCCTCTGTGCTGCAGGGTCAGAAGACCAAGCAGTCGTAAGATCGAATCCATGTGATGGAGTGAGAGCCCATCACTTGTCCCAGCTCCCGCCAACCTAGCGGTTCGAAAGCATGCAAATGCAAGTAGATAAATAGGGACCACTTCTGTGGGCAGGTAACAGCGTTTCATTGGGCCTGCCTGAGCAAAAGCAGCAAATGTGGAATGTCACGCAAGATGCTGCTGATGACTACCTGACTGTAAAATCAAGCCTCTGAACCACCGTCCCTGCCTTGCTTTTGTGAGATCTCACAGGACAAAGAGATCTGCCAGTTTTGAAAGCACGCAAACTATTTTGTACCTTTGGGCTGAGACTCCTACACCGATATGCATTTTGGAGTTAGTTGATGGTTTAATCTATTCTTAAGAGCCTTTTACTGCCAGGGGTAAGAGAGAAGCACTTGTGGCTTATTCTCTGCCATGTGCCACAGTAGCTTAGCCAGCTTTGGCATTGTGACCTTGAGGAAGCATTTGCTGCTCCATCTCAGGCTGCAAAATATCTTGAGCCAGCAGAGACCATAACAAATTCCCATCTTTCAGCCATGCAGATCAATGTTGACGTAAACTCTGCTGCGGGCCTGCTGGACCAGTTCTATGAAAAGCGCCGGCTGCTCGTCATCTCTGCTCCAGATCCTTCCGACCGCTACTACAAGATGCAGAACGCCATGTTGCAGGTGACCTAGCCCAGCTCTTCCACCTTCTCTCACCCTCTCCTGCCTCCTACAGCAGGCAGTGAACAATGACCATTGCTTTTTTCCTCTCTTTCCTGCAGCAAGCCATTTGTGGGCTAGATTTGCGTCACATCACTGTCATTGAGCTAGTGGGACAGCCGCCTCATGAGGTGGGGAGGATCCGTGAGCACCGGCTCTCCGACAGCATCTCTGAACAGCTCAGGTTTGTGTCTGCAAGGAGGAGATAAGGGCGTTTCTCAAATAGAGTCTGTGTGGTGCTGAGTCAGATCCAGTTCTTCTGACAAAGTTCAGGCGCTGACCTTAGGCTGATGTTGACCGGGATTGTTAGGATGATAAAAGCGTACACTGGTGCCTTGCTAGACAGTTACCCCACATGACAGTTTTTTCACCAGACATTGACTTTTTGCAATCTCTATAGCGATTCGCAAAACAGTGATTCCTATGGGGGAATTTCGCTGGACAATGTTTGGTCTCTGCTTCGCAAACCAGGTTTCGCTAGACAACGATTTTGACAGCTCCCTCCATGCTTGCAAAACAAGTGTTTTCGGGACCTAAGCTTTGCAAGACAGCTATTTAAACAGCTGATCGGCGGTTCGCAAAGCGGCTTTCCTATGGCCGATCTTCGCTAGACGACTATTCTTCCCCATTGGAACGCATTAAACAGGTTTCAGTGCATTCCAACGGGGAAATGCTTTTCACTAGACAATGATTTCGCTAAACAGTGATTTCAGTGGAACGGATTATCATCGTCTAGTGTGGCACCACTGTATATGGTAAATGTATTGAGCAGCATTCCTTAGTTCTTCAAAAAATATCTAGTCAAGTTATGGAATCCTTTTAGCAAGGCAGGATGATAGGAATTAGCCTACGTGAATGTTAAAGAAGTTAGACCAGTGCGTTGTGGCCTCTCCACATGTTGTTGGACTATGGTACCCATCAGCATGTGATCATTGGTCATGCACGATGGGTGTTTCAATCCACCAACATCTAGAGGATCACAGGTTCCCCTCTTTTGTCATAGGGCTTAGGGCAGGGTTGGGCAACTTAAGCCCCCCCCTTGCTGGACTGTAATTTCCATCAGGCCTAATCAGCATCAACTGTGGAGATGGAACAAGGGCAATACCACTCAGCAACATTAGGAAGGCTACAAGCCGATCAACACTACATCTACAGAGTATTAGCTACTCTTTGCATGATTCCCGTCAACCACTAGTCTCATGAATGCCACAGCCATGTATTTTCTTTGCACCTCGGTGCAGGTTCGGCATATGCTTGCATGTAGTTGGTGGCCCAAGAGCCTTCTGGCTGGCTCTTCTCTTGGGGCAACCGTGAACTGATAATTCTGGGATGCATTGTTACTTCCTCCCTAACGATGGGCTACTAGCTGTTCTCCAGCAAGTGCTTCTCAGCCCCGGCCAATCACTGCGAAGGGTGAAGAAGCCTGGGAGTTGCAGGCACCTTGATTACACATTTATGCTAATCCTCAAACTTGGCCCTTGCTTACTGCTCTTCAGAGTTGCTCAGAGCCCTTCATGCCTTTAATTCAGCCCTCCTCATAATATTGTTAGTTTGCAAGGATACCAGTTATGGTGGAGTGGGGGGGTCGGTCTCAATTGGCTGTAAGCAGCCCGGTGCACTTTTGAGCCAAGGACTCCATCTCATGGTTCACATGACTTTTTCTGCAACCAACCAACCCCCCCCCCCC